AGAAAATCAACAATTCGGAAAAGTTACCATTCGTGGCCCAAGATACTCGAAGGGATGAAAGTGCCTCTACGAATATGACTCTACGCCCTGCAGCTAATGATTCAGATTCCAGCGAAGATGGTGATTCCTCACCCAAAGTCGAACATTTTGTTACTAGAGCTGGCCGATGTGTTAAAATTCCCAATAGACTTGATTTATAACTTTTGGTGCAATTTATAGGTATCCTACAAATTGCAAAGTGGGAGGTTGTTTGAGTAAGACCAGCTACAACTCAACTCTGTTTAGGTTTTAAGTTTATGTTGAAAAATAAGTTCTATTGTTTCTGTAAGAATAACTGCTTCTAAATTTTTTGGAAATATCTGCAATTAAAGTGTTTTTTCATATAAAATCCATAGTTATTTTTGAATCCTTTAAAAATTAGATTAATTTTACATTGTCCTGTTTAGTTTCAAACTCATTCACAAAAAACAAAAGAAAAAAGGATTAACTTGCAGGCTCTGTCAGAGGTATGCTGCTAAGGAAGAAAATTAATAGAGACATTGATCTTGTGACTTTTAGTTATTTAATTAGAATAGACATAGAATTTATTTTAAAAGGTTAAATCAAAACTCCAAAAACTTAAGTTGTTTCAGCTTTCAATACACTTGTATAAACTACTCAGCTATTAAATTCTTAAACTGCCAAATCAGTGCCAAATTATAAGAACAATATTTTTATAAAGATGATTTTTATATTTTTCAATGCAATGTATGCTTTAAACATAGGATTTTCTTCAGCATTAATTGTGATAAAATTATGTCATGAATGATAGCTTTATCATTTTAAAAATTATAGATAAATTCTGGAATGGAAGTTATTGTTCACAAAATGGCAGTGCGGGGCCCATTTATATCTATCCTATTAAATAATATATAATTGGCAAACAATCACCTCAGTGATATTTCAACACTTGCTAAATTCTGAAAGGTTAAAAAAGCATTTTTTTCCCTGATGCAAAACTGTTAATATAAGCATACATAATATATGTTAAATGTAAATTTTTATTAGAATTAAAAATAAGACATTTAATATATTTAAACAAAACTAATAGAAAAAATACTAATGAAAAATAAGCACCAAATTATATATCTTGCTTTAACTCTGCAATATGTAAGTCAACTGAAGAAATATCTCTGCACAATTTTTCTTTTTTTGACTCCAAAATTTTAATCTGTGCCTGTGCTTTCCTTTTGTCTAATAATATTTTTTATGTTTAGTATCACACAGTTTTTTGTTTTTGTTTTTTGTCTTTAAGTGCTTGATGATATGCACCATGAGCAGATATGGCATATCGTAATAGATCAGGAGTTGTGCTAATATTCATCACACCTCTACATTTATGGCATCATAAAAGTCTCATACTGCTGAAGGTTTTCCGCCAACATATCGTAGAAACCACTTTCTACTGTGCCATTACCATGTTATAAAATTAGAATTAGTTTTACAACACTAATTCTTCAAAGACTGAATTAGTAACCGAAGCCTTAGTCCTGCAGCATAGTTAACAAAAATATATTCCCACACACCCTTATACTTCTGAATAACAATTCTTAAAACTGCACTTTTGATTTATCTGCAACTGTGGAATTTAGCCATTTACTTTCATACAGTATATGCAGTAACCTCTCAACCCTTTTCTCACATAAAAATTAATTACACGTAATGAGCTTAGGATTTAATGAAGAAATTTATCTGACTAAGCTATATTTAAATGGGATTCTTTCAACTACTTTTGATGCAAGCTATAGCAAAATGGTTCTGCACAGAGTTTTAAATTCTTTTTTCTTTAGATCAGACACTCCACTTTCAGCTAAACTTGCACCAGCAGCCACACCCATATCTGCAGTGTTACAAAAATGGTTTGATTCAAAATATCCATTTTTATCAATTTTTTAAGTTACTGCCTCTTGATTTAAATATCTTTTGATAAATTTTGAAAGAAGCTGAGCATACTATGGAAATTTGCATACAGAAGGAGGCACACGGAAACAACTATCTGAAATGATTTTAGAAATGAATGTAGAACTCCCATAACAGAAATTTAAAAAAGAGAGGATATTTTCACCAAAAGAAACTTAACAGCTCTCAGTCTTTCAAATGATAGTCTTTGGCAATTCAGATGATTCTAAACACACTTTCGCATGAGGAAAAATCTGTCAGCAACAGGTCTGTTTTCACACCATCTTACTTCATAAAATGTCGATGGAAATGCCATACAGTTAGTGATAGTAATATAATCTGCTTACTAAGCAGAACTATCTTTAAATACTCTATGCATGTCTTTAAATAATACATTTAAGATTCCCATCATCATGCCCAGCTCTAGAGGCACAGTGAATGAATGCAAACCACAGGACATAATATCTAATATACGAGAGTCATCATTTGCTAAATTTTCTTTCAAATCTATGAGGAAATTAAGATTGATATTTGGTCTACACAAGGACACTTGAAGCAATTTCTTTTTATCTAGTTCTTAGGTTTCCTCCAAAAAAAAAAAAACTTCAGAAGGTCATCAGCAGTAGCATGTCCCTGAAAAATTGACGCAAGCTATCTTGTGCTAACTTCATTCTTCATGTTGTTCCAAAATCTAGCAAAAAGGTCCATTTCACCTTTGGTCAATTCTATTTAAAGCTTCTTAAAGCAAATTACAAATTTGGTATTCTTAAGATCAGAAATGAGCATTTCTTTTTAGTATGGAGCTATACCTAATGACACTAAAAACGACATATTTGTACAACCCAGAGTTCGACTTTATTCGTGTCATCAAACATTTTTTTTAAACAGAAGCATCATTAAATACATTTAAAGAAACATGTGAAACAAACAAGTTTGACAGCCCAAAATAAGACTTTCTCCTTAACTACGAAGAAGTTTAAATTTGATGATTCAGCAACTAGTACTGGAGATTGTTGCACTTCAGAACAGTTTATATTTTCACAGTTTATTTTTAATTTTTTGATCACATAGAAATGATTTTTTTATGCTTTACACTGCTTATGTGGCTTGTGATTTCTTTCCTTCCCATGTTACTAAGGATGATGTTTTTTGGCAAAACATGCACACTGCCATCTTAACGGCTCCTTCAATAAGTTGTAACCATGAATCCACTGAGCATTCAGATTCGAATCTGCCCAATCTGGATTAAAACGTCTTTTTCGCAGACATTTTACAGCTAAAGGAATGAAAGAAATCTAAGAATATTTTAAAATAAATTCAGGTATTTTATACTTTATTATTTAGCAGCATATGTAAGTAAAAACGTGTTTTACAAAATTTCACAATGGTATGTCATCATAGTGATACAATTAGTTTTACTGGTATGCCAGAGAAAATTTGCTGAAATTTAATAAAGCATTATTAACTAATAATAAATAAATTTAGAAAAAAGAACCCACATCAAATGATATGAATAACATTAAAATAAAGATATTTACTTAAAGATTGAACAAGATTAAACATGAATTACAATAATCAATGGCATTTGGGCAAACAGTTATATTTAATTAGTTAACCTAGATGACTGATTATCTTTTAAACAAATACTACAAAATGATAAATAACGCCTTTATTAAAACGCAAAAAGAGGTTTAAAAGATTTTGTTTTGTATGAGAATGGGGAGGGGGCTTTGGCTTATTTGATTACGACAAAGCACTCGAGGGCTATCTGCTTAAGAGGAAGGATGCCTTCATGGAGTACTTTCTAAGGGAATTGGCTCGTATACACACAGGGAAAACCACAAAAATCCCATGAAGGCAGCCCATTCGCATAACTCGAACCTCAGTGAACTCTAAGAACTACCAGTGCTCAGCGATTTCACTGCTTGGCCACTGGTGAGCCATGATAATGTTGGGAAGGCTGAACAAAATCAAGAATTTTAAGGGAAAGAAGTACTGGTAACTTATTTTTACTTCAGAAAGTGCATAAATAAAGGGGAGCAAACTATATTAAACATGTTTGTTTCTGAATGTGGCTGCAAGTTCTGCCCCCGTTTGTTTCTTAAAAATGAAATTTTAAATGTAGATTATCTGAAAATAAAAACAATGAAAAATCAAATATTTTGGGATTTACCAAACAAAGTATCATATTTTCTTGCATAATTTTGAAGTCTGTTAAATCCTAATATATTCATGCCACCCACAATATTGAAACGCTTAACAGTTCAATTTAATTTTTTTAACAATACACAAAAATATGATTCAAAAAGCATCAATAGATTTCTTTTAACTTAAAAAATGTGTTGCATGAATTCTTATTTTAACAAGCCAATACGATAATAATACTAAGTAAACATAAAAAATATTTAATAATGTGTACAAATCAGTTTCACTCAAATTTTTTAATTGGAGATGACTAAGAAAAATGACCTTTCAAACCAAAAGTTTCTTCATTCAACAAGTACAGATTTCTTGATCTTAGTTTTAATTTTAGTTAACTGTTTAAATTTAAGAGAAAAAAAAAACTTAGTCTGACATTGATTTTCAGTAATTCTATTTTGATGGGTTATGAGACAAGTCCATCTTCTTCAAGCACTAAAAAAGTGTACAGAAATCACCCCCTCCCCCCGAAAACATTTAGACTAAGGTTGCCAAGTTTCACATTGCGAAAGTTCTCTAATTGGGGTATGCCCTCCGAGTATTAAGATCTGTGGTACAGCATCAGTCAATTAATTTCAAAAAATGTTATTAAAAATATATTTTCTTCTAAAATGCTGCAAAATAACATGTTTATATTCAATTAGTAGTTAGAATCCACTGCTATTTTGAAGGATATTTTTTCTCATCATTTAATGTTACCAAAATAGCTGTGGACAAACGTGATCACATGAAGTGGCACCTACTGTATGTTATCTACATGTACTTAGCTCTGTAAATATAATTTAAAAAATATTAGTTTCCTTCATTAATTACATAGTTTATTTAAATAATGCTGCACAAGTAGAGACATGGAAAAAAATTACCATAATTTTGAAGAGGATAAATATTCCAGGGATTTCGTCTTCCTTTTTGTGACATTTATATCTGTGTTTTTATCAGTACCAGATGGCTGACACTTTTTTGGATTATCGGTTAACGACCACCAATCGAAATCAGAAAAACCTACATATAAAAGGAAAAAAGCATTAACTGATGCTTTAAACTGCTCTTCTCATATTTTAATGTCAGGAAGGCAAAACGCAATGAATAACAAATACACTTCACATTTTATATATTTATACACATCGCAATACACCGAATTATTAAAAGAACATTTATATAAATGCTGAGTATGAGCTGGTATCTTATTGTTAATTTTCCTCTTTTATTCATTTGTCAATTTCAACTTCAAATAAATGTAACCATAATAAGTCAGACAAATATATTTACCAATTACATTGTTGTCTTCGAGAATCTGAGACACAAAATTATCTGATATGGGTAAGATGTTATCTAGATCATCCAGTGCTAGTCCTTCATAGTCAGAAGAGCACGTACTCATATGATTTGGAGTTGTGGAACAGCTTGATAGCCTCGTACTTTCACTGTAATAAAAACAAAGATCATAGTAATTTAAATTGGCAGTATATTTATTCTAAAAACCTTTTACAGCAAAAAAACATTAACCTTCCAAAACACCAAGGTTTCTGAACCTCTAAAATTCTCCAAAAGACCATCAGAAAGTGGTAATTTCGGTTTGGTTTCAGTTTATGTGATTATGGCAAAGCCTCGAGGGCTATCTGCCAAAGAGTAAGGATGCCTTCATGGACAACTTTCGAAGGGAAACTGGCTTGTATACACATTACACATGCAGTATTTTTGGATTTTAATATATAAATAATCCTCTCAAGTTATATCCTTATTCCCTTTCTTCCTATATACTACTATAACTGGCTAGACACATTTCAAGATGCATGTCTATTTACTTAAAGCTATCATTACTAATATTTGTTAATGTAATAATCAACACAAAGAAATATTCTTGTAATGTATAGAATACAGTAACAAAGTGAAACTTTTAAGATATGAGAGGAAAGATAATATCGCTAAATCGAAATAGTAAAATTAATCAAGTTATGTAACCATCATTTTCTTGCCAGTTGATGAACTACTTTTGGTGGTAGTCAGGGGTGTTTGTGGGACTGCAAAAAATCCCCTGAAACTTTTACGGACTTACCGACATTTTGGAGTTTCGAGAAGGGGAGAGAGAAATGAAAAATTACAATTATGAAGTATTGAATGACCTAATTATAAAAGTTCAATGAATTACGTTTTTTGCAAAATTAATACCATAAATTTTCAAACATATAAACTACTACATTTTATGTAAATATTTTAAATTACCTGAATTAATTCTCTAAAATATAAATGTACACCCACCTAATGGTTCTGGTCTCTTCAAGAGCTTAAGTTTTTTAATGGCAAGGGATTCACAGATTTTGAAAAAATTTTCTCTTTTACTGCATCTTTTCATATCAAAATAGATGTCATCAAACAAATCTTCTCAGTATCTATCAAAACATGAAGCAATTTTTTTTGCACAGTTATTAGCTGTGTGACATGTGTCACCATTAATATCTAATAAGTGGGTGCTTTGTTTGATCGTAGTCTGGTTTCAACACCCCTTTTTTTTTACACGCATGGTGTTAAATGAGTCCATTAATTCACTAATTAAGTTTGCCCATGGAATATTATTATCTTCAATAGTATTAACAACTGCTTTAAAACAGCTTTGAATTGCAAGATTCCATCTTTAGAGAATCAAAATGATGAACTACAACTTCATTTTGATTGCTGTCATAAAACTGCACCAATATTGCAGTATACTTTCTTGAGCATGCTAGTACTTCATCCAAATTTAGAGAAAATGGAGTCTCCTTTAAAGTTTTAATGATATTTTCCTTAATAGTTTTTGCGAGCCCATATTTCATCTTATAACATGCAGTAGTAGTCCTGGACATTTCCAACGAGTTTAGAGCCGTCTGATAGCGGCTCAACTGTTCAATACCTCTTGGCGGGCTTTTCTTGTCACTATATCCAATGGCCGAGCATCAGTCTCCAGTAAGTCATCAGTACTTTTTGAATTAGCATAATTATTTAAAGTCATTGAATGTCTAATGCACTTTGAATATTTTATGTGCATCACAGTTTTACAATGATTTGTGAAAGCCTTGAATCCTTCCCCACCATACTTCAGCAGTGAGTTACAAAAAACACAATATGTTTGTCCAGCAACATTTATTTTCTTGCACCATGTGCTGATGGTATTATCTAATTTCTGCTGCTTTTTTTTTATTTTCTGATATTTGTGGGCTTGTCTTTCATTTGTGGTAAACTTCATAATTGCAGGAAGGTTGACTTTTATTTTTCTCATTTACAGTTGAAGAAATTTCCTCGAGAATTGCACATGCAGAGGTAGAAGCAGTTTCCTTTTCTGCTAATGTAGAAGGTTTTTCAGAGACTTTTGTAGGTGACTCATCTGAAATACACGTTTTTAAGTCCTCTTGATATGTTTTCCAACTTCTGTTCATATTCAGTAAGAGATCTTTGTGAATTGGATCAGTCATTGGATTTTTTTAGCCGTATTTTTCACATGAGGTTTTTTTAGAAGCCATTAAATCATATTTAATAGTCTGCACTGCATCTAGGGAATCAATCTTAAGAGAGATTCTATAGTCAGTGACAAGTGTATCCATTAAGTTGAATGCACTTTCCACTAATGGGCCATGGAAGCAACTAAGGCAGGCTTTGACCAATTTAGCCAATGTAGGATACTTATAATCATTTGTGAAATCATCTTTTAAATTAAAAACTTTAGACCAATATTTATCAATTGTACACTTGACTTGACTTCCACTTTCATCAGATGTGTAGAGCATTTCTTTGGTGATATCAATATCACTCTGGTATAACCTTATTTCCGCTTCTACTTTTGAATTTTCATTATCACTAAAAATATGGAACATAAAATATGATAATTTTTCAAAAGCTAATATTGTATTGGTTTTACCTCTTAGCTCTGGATCTAATGCTGTAAAACTAATTAGATACGAATTTTTAAGGGGTAATTTCTGTTTCATATGCTGTGCTGTATAAGTATAAGCTTTCATCAGAGAAATTTGGAATTCTTTTGCTATTGGATGATTTTTTGATAATTTCTCCAGGAGAGTGGAAGCTTCTACACCAGTAAATATTACTTTGCTAGGTAGATGGAATTCTGGATTTGTGACATCAACCTTTAATAAATCATTATAAGATGTGCACTCTATATTTTCTGGCTTCACAAAAAAAGAGAAAAATTTTTCCATCAATTTATAAATACTGGAATGTATTAAATGAAGCATTGGTTTTTTTGTTTCAAATAATTTAATATATGTGTTGAACTCTGGTAATACTGCTGAATATAATGCCATATGCAATAAATTTTGTTTTGCATAACAAATAACCCATTTAGTATTCTTTTTTTTTTTTTCGAGCTAAAGCATCCTTTGTGAGTTGTTGAGAATGCAAGCAAGAATACACCCCTTCAACAATTTTTTTCTGAGCTGCAGAAATATTTCTTTTATTGTATACAGTTTCAACATAAGAAAAATAATCCCCTTTATCAGTTTTATCCAAGTAGTGAAAATAAAATGCAATAAGAGCATCCCACAGATCTTTGATTCTTTCTAAAACACATAAAACGTACACCCACCTATGCTCTGGTCTCTTCAAGGGCTTAAGTTTTTTAATGGCAAGGGATGCACAGATTTTCAAAAAATTTTCTCTTTTACTGCAGCTTTTTATATCAAAATAGATGTCATCAAACAAATCTTCTAAGTATCTATCAAAACATGAAGCAAATTTTTTTGCACAGTTATTAGCTGTGTGACATGCGTTACCATCAATATCTATCAATATCTAATAAGTGAGGTGCTTTGTTTGATCGTTGTCTGGTTTCAAGACCCTTTTTATTTCCACGCATGGTGTTACACGAGTCCATTAATACACTAATTAAGTTTGCCCATGGAATATTATTATCTTCAATAGTATTAACAACTGCTTTAAAAACATCTTCTGAATTGCAAGATTCCATCTTTAGAGATGCAAAATGATGAACTACTTCATTTTGATTGTTGTCATAAAACTGCACCAATATTTCCAGTATACTTTCTTGAGCATTGCTAGTACTTTCATCCAAATTTAGAGAAAATGGAGTCTCCTTTAAAATTTTAATGATATTTTCCTTAATAGTTTTTGCGAGCCCACATTTCATCTTATAACATGCAGTAGTCCTGGACATTTCCAACGAGTTTAGTGCCGTCTGATCGCGGCTCAACTGTTTGCAGAGTTCAATTAAATTGGGAGCAACATTGAAAGAAAGAGAATTCTCGGCGATAAACGAAGTTATTAATACCTCTTGGCATGCTTTTCTTGTCACTATATCCAATGGCCAAGCATCAGTCTCCAGTAAGTCATCAGTATTTTTTGAATTAGCATAATTACTTAAAGTCATTGAATGTCTAATGCACTTTGAATATTTTATGTGCATCACAGTTTTAGAATTATTTGTGAAAGCCTTGAATCTTTCCCCACCATACTTCAGCAGTAAGTTACAAAAAAAACTCAAATGCTTGTCCAGCAACATTTATTTTCTTTGCACCATGTGCCGATGGTATCCCCATTACCATCTCTCCGTTCATCCAATTCCATCTAAATGCATTCCGGACACCTTCTACTAATTGTATAATATCACTATTTATATTGAGAAATTTCATAGTGAAATTCTCTTGCGTACATAAATAAAAAAATATTCAATAAACGAAACAAAAAATTACACATGCATCAAATAAATGAAACGAAAATTTACACAGCGGAGAAAAAAAAAAAGTTGAGAAGTGATCAATGTCAAATAGCTAATACAGCAAAAAATCCCCCTTCTCTACTTATCGGCGCCATGCCAGGAGAGATAAGACCTTTGAACCCAGAGTCACGTGATCGCACATCTGGTCGAACGAAGTCTCTCCTTTTTTTTTCTGCCGCGCCTACTTACCGAAAAGAATCCAGAAGAGAATGTCCGAGAACCAGTGGAATGAGTCATAACTCGCAATAAGGAAAGAACAAAAAAGAAGTTTTTCCCCCTTTTCATGCATTATCACTGACTTTGGAGAAAGAAAGGAAAAGTTTTCACAACAATAACATTCTTCCCCCTCTCAAATCAGCATTCTCATCATTTTGAAGTCTCTCTCCTCTGCCATTCGATGAATCTTCCAGGACCCATCCTCTCCCCATCCCTGCCTTTTCTGCAATTTTTTCAAAGGCGGACACGACTCCACCTGCCTTGCAATAACGAACTCTGATGTATTTCCCCTTCAGCATGAATCGATTTTTCTTGGCATTCTGCCAGATACAGATCCCATCAGTTTAGGTACAAGTACTTGTTGAATAGTTTTTAAGTAAGAAGGGAGCGGAAAATTTTTGAAAATGGCACCTAAACGACACAGAAGCTATACTGCTAGTTTTAAGCTTAATGTAATTTCACATGCTGAACAAATTGGAAATAGAG